CCCCCCACTGTGCGCAAGTCCTCCTTCCTCTTAGCCATCTGCTGACTTGACATAACCTCGCCGAGCACACGCGCGCGCATATAGCCCACCCAAGTCCCTGAAAATCGGTACTTCCTTTCTTTTACCTTGTTTCACTTCTTTGGATCCTATTGACCTTTTGGATAGATTTGATATCATTTTATTCCACTCGCTCCCCCCCCGCCGCCCTTCGCCCGCTACCCGTCTGAAGCACATATTTTTCTAGTTGACTGCTCCCCCGCGCCCCTCCGCAGATCTTTTCAGCTCCCTACCTGTTTTGGCTTACGTTACTTCGACTTCAGATTGCTGGCAAACCATGCAAAGATGACCACGTACCCCTGCACACATACCCGCCGTCCTCCGTGCTCGTCCTCCTCTCTGTGCGGTACTGCGCACCATGTGAAACAACGATGCCATTCTGCCATCACTAACTCCATTGCCGCGCCAGACTCGCTTCAAACTCCGTCATGTTCTCACCTAGACTGACTCTACCCCGGTAGCGTTGCCCCCCTCCCCCCTATAGGGAGATTATGTGGACGGTGCGGTTCGGGGCAACTTCCGATTGTATTCATGTATGCGTGCATTTGCTAGTTTTAGTGCCCCAATCCCTTGCCGCCATTTTCTTGCTTTCTTTTTATGCTTGAACTTTTATTGACCTGCTGGCTTTTCCTCTCTCTATCTCTTTGCGTGTAAATTCACTGGCTTATGCAATTTTGATGTTGGCTTGGAGGTTAAGTGGGAGCCTGGCCGTCTGGCTTCGCTGTTTATTGGGCTACCTTGGGTTGCATATATTCATATCCTACTTGGTAAAGATTTTCGGTACTATTTGGCCAACTCTTTTCGTGCCAACTAGCTAGTAATGCTGAGTCACGGATAAACGAAGGTAAAAGCCCAAATTAGTACAATCTTCGATCACAGGCTCTCGTGTGTACGAAACGGTAAACACCGTATGAAGTAAGGTTAGTATGTTTACGTAGGGTAAATTGCTTAATTATTCGCAAGGCGAATTCAGAAAAAGAACGAACAAAATTGAATTATCTATCAGTTCTCATTGAACCCCCAAACTACAGGCCGACTGCACGGTGGCCTTTAGCACAAAATGGTTTTTCCCTTTTCCAGACTGAAAAGCAAAGTTGGCATGCAGGGAGTGTCTAGAGTTTTGCAATTTCATCGAGTTTGTCAGGTGTCGGCAGTGATACTTTCGGTGACCTTGTATAGAAGAAAATCTCAAATATAGGAGGGAATGTGTTCCAACAATCACTCATTAGAATGACGGCTTCACACAGTTTGCTTCGAGCCTTGGCTCGAACTTGTATTGTGGAGTTCCAGTGGTGGTATCTGTATCCATTCGCGGTAATGTCTCAGTAACCACATTTCCCCCTCCGTGGGTATGAAGTAAAGTCTGGAAACTTCCCGAAGATCAATCTGCAACCGTGTCCGGAATTTGTTTCCTCAACTCACTTCGGGGTCCGCATAGCTAACACACTCATCAGACCAAACCTCGGTTAGCAGAAGCTAGGACAGGTGAATGTGGGATGTATTCTGTGCGGTACTCTAGGTTGTCTCGGCGACAGGAGTCGCGGGTGTTATCAGCGCGTGTTCAGACAGTATTAAATCCTGCCTGCGTAGTCTGCTGCCTTCGTATGCATGTTTGTAAGAGAAAATGTAGGCGTTTGTGTCTCGGTCTGCATGCGTTGTTATAAGTGAGATACGAACGGTTTCGCTGACTGATTGGAGATTTGCTACGCAACATGCTTTCCTCGGAAGGAGTCCTATTCTCGCGATGAAATCTTCGGGTGCTAGAAAGGAACTTTGCGTTCAGTGCTTTTCGCCGTCTGAAGCGATTATCTTCGCACGTTTTAATATCACGAATTTAGTCGTCGTAGACACTGCCACATTTGGGGTGGGCTAACTTCTAAATAAGATTGCCTTTTTGAAACCAGTCAATAAAATCGCTGACATTTTAACCTGGTAGCGTTAGAGGCGATGAGCATCACTTAGGTCGTTGTAATTATTATCCACGTGTAGCTGTCACCTTGTATGGTCGGCCAATGAGCATGAAAGTTGGCCTGATCTAACGGAAATACCGCCAGTTTGTTATTTAATGTGCAGTAGCAGATAATTCCTTTTGAGTAGAATGCAAAACAAATGGAAAGTCACGCACTGGACGGTTGTCTTTTTTGAGGAACTGGTGTGATCAAAAAGTCCAAGCCTTGAGATAAAAGACGAGCTGCTAGTCACGCTTTTCGCGATCGGACGATCTAAGTCTTTCCAGGCCGAACGGTCTTCACAGAACCATGATGAATACGGCTTCTGGGGCCTGTTTTCCTAGTCTAGGCTGTAGGCCCATACCTTCATTCCCTGGGAGAAGCGCTGCCATGCTTGTGCAGTCAGTGATCGCCGCTATGGTGTTTCGGAGAACACCTACCAGCTAAATTGAAGATCTAAATGTAAAGCTGCTGAGAAATTTCCACCAAAGCGATAAAAGCTCCTCCTCTACTATCGGCCTAATTACATGCAATGCCAATTTTCAAAACCTGCCTTACTTACAACAACGAAAACTTTTAAAATAAATCAGACCCGGCCATTCGGTAATGATGAAAGAGACGGGATCAATAAGGGACTCCTTCCGTTGGGATGATCGACATTTTGCGGGAAAAATACCCTAAGTATACACGAATCTTGATGGCGAAGAAAAACTTCAGACACGAGACGAAATCGAAATATATATATCTGGAGTGGATCCGACAAAGCAAAGGGGGACGTGAATGACCATTTCTGGCTTATTAGCCGTCATCAGCCAGTCATACCCAATCTCAGAGATTGGAATCCCCAAGATCTGAACCCGGAACCTTTGGTCATTGAGTTCAATACTCTACCTCTAGTCCACGGGCTCCTTGCTTTGTCGGTTGTGATCCTGAATATGATGGAACTGGGGTGTTCATCCGATCTATCTGGTTAGGGTCTTCCTCAAAAAGAAGAGAAGGGGGCGGGTTCATGGATATATGCGCTTCGCCGATCTAGTAGACTCTACTAGATCACACCCGAGCCTCGAACTCGCGACCTCTCTGATCAGAGTCAAACGCCCTAACCACTGAGCTACGAGCTCGTTTTCTTGCCGGTATTTGATCGGGAATATACAAAACAAAGACGGGCGGCTGTTACTAACCGCTCTGGGCCCTAGCCGCCACAAACCACATTCCCCCCTTGCACAAAATGCACAGCCCCCCCCCATTAAGTCTGCTTGTCACCTACCTATGGGTACTGTGAGACGCGGTACGACACTTACCTCCGACGACGGAAACTCGTCTGTTTTGAAACGTCAGGAAAATTACAATTATGGTTCCTGAGATCGCTCTTTCTTCTTATTTATGCCG